GCCCCCCCCCCCCCCCCCCACACACACACACACACACACACACACACACACCAGAAATAAGGATACAGTTCAAACTGGGTTGTGGACATCAGAAAGCTGGGCAGGTCCGACAGATTAACCATCTGAACCAAATCTAAAACTGGTGCGTAGTAATGGAAGACCTGCACAGACAGAACAGACAGACAGAGAAGGGTGGAGGAGAGAAAGAGCGAAATAAGGAAACAAACAAACAAACACAGAGGAGAGGATGAAGAAAAAAACAACAGGGTTATCTTATCACACAGACAGTATCTAAAAACCACAGTAGTTTGTGAGGCAACAGCTTAAGGAGTTGGAGAGTATCCAGCAGTTGAAAGACTAAGATACAGCTGAAGAGTCCTTGAGCAAGACACTCAACCGTAACCAGCTCAGAGGTGATGTTGTATAACCAACCTCGGATCTGATCTTCCTCGGTTCTAAATCTGGATTTGGACTTCCAGTGGAAATGTCAGCAAAATAATATTATGGTGCATCCAGACGTGTGTGTGCAGAAAGGAAGAGGAGGATTTGAGGGAAAGGAAAACAGATTTACACACAGAGACAGAGCACGGACATCCACCGTTATACCCGCTGTACAGTATAATTACCTAAATACCAGAACACTTATTCTCATTATCAATTTATGCATCCATTTTTTGACTAATTGTTTGGTTGATAAAATGTCAGAACATTTTAGAAAGATTTCTATCGCAAGTGCCGATCGCTAAAGATGACGGTCTTCAAATGTCTTGTTCACAAAGATTATCTGTCTACACCGATATTAAAAAAGGAGAAAAAGAGCCAGAAAATTACTTCAAGAAACGATGAATCCAATGTAAAAAATGATGTTGATGAACTTACTGCTGACCAACTAACCGATTAATTGACTAATCATTACAAGTTTCTGAGATATAAATGGCAACCAACTCAAGCCTAGTAACTGTATTTATGTTACAGGTAGAATTTGAACTTGTCATTCTTAGAGTCACTGAGAAAGTATAGCACGAGTAAATGCTCATTTTAGTCTTAGGGTTTGCCTTTGTGTGTTTACATTATTGCAATTAGTTGATATGACTTGTCAAATAAATAAACTCCTTAATATTAATCAATTACTGTGTACTGTACGAGAATCGATTTTGAGTCGAGAATCAATCGTGATCTACCAAAAGATTCACTGCCGGACTAAACACAGAATATCTTCGGTTTTCTCTCAGGAGCCCATCAGTTACTAACACAATGCTCCCATTAAAAAAATAAATAAATAAATAAATAAAATAGACCTACAGCTTAACAACCTGCAGCTGTCCTACTTATCTAATGAGCTCATTAGGTTATGAGGAAATCCATAATATATAAATCATTTGTCACATGGAAAAACAGAACATTTGCATTTAGAAAACTACAAGAACACAGAGGAAAGCCTGAAATCTCATAATTTATTAATCTGGATCAAAGAATGACGGGCTGACCTATTTCTGATAAGACTCTTATAGATTAAGAGCAGACCGAGATTCTAATGAAACTGGGTCGAATTCACAGTCTTGCTAGCAAGATGGTAAAGTTCATTACTCATTTGTTCAAATAGCTGAAGAGGATGACTAACGCAGTGGCCTCCAATATTAAACACCTCATTACTGGAAACTGTCCTTGTATTCGTAATGGTTTCAAATTGCATACGCCTGTAGTTGTAATGTTTTTTGCACAGAAGCCTTCACAGACCACCACTGGTGCTATACAATAGAAATCACTTACAGTACATGTACACCTAACATTAGTAAAGTTAGCCACTAACAAGTACTCGTTGGTATGTTGCAACAAACAAAATGGCTGAAGCAAGCCCACACTTCATACTCCATTTTATAAATCACGCAGTAAACACACACTTTGGGTTTGGTGCTCACACACCAAACCCAAAGTGTGTCCTCCCTTCCCACTGAGGCTGAGCATCTCTGTGTGTGTGTGTGTGTGTGTGTGTGTTAGTAATTAACACAACAGTTATTCCTGACAGTGTGGAGGCCTAATAGTTTTTGTCGGAGCATAGTTTAGATTTTACAGTCAGTTATCCCAGCAGAGTGGAGATGTGATAGTCTTGTTGTCCTCAGACGGTTGTTTA